GGTTCTCTCTTCCCCTGGGAGCGGGTTCTCTCTTCCACTGGGAGCTGGTTCTCTTCCCCTGGAAGCTGGTTCTCTTCTCCTGGGAGCGGGTTCTCTCTTCCACTGGGAGCTGGTTCTCTTCTCCGGGGAGCTGGTTCTCTCTTCTCCTGGGAGCTCCAGGGGATTGAATTTAAGGCATCAGGCTTGTGTGGCAAGTACCTTCTCCAGCTAAGCCACCTTGCCAGCACACAAGGCATGCTTTCACAGATAATAGAGAAAAAGTATGAAAAAAAATACCCATTTCATTTAAAACCTATGAGGGTAGGGGTCCCTCACAAGTCCTTTCAAAACTTGTATCCATCCAGAATCCAAAGTCAGATCAATGAGTATCGGTGAAGACATCATACATAGCACATAAGAATGTCAGACAACACAGCCACCTTGGAAAACAGAGAGGCAATTCCTCAAACAATTAACCATAGAGTCTCATGGAGTCCCAGGAATTCCAGTCTTTGATCAAAAGAAATGCAAGTGTTTCTACACAGACACTCAGGTAGTCTAGTTAGCAGCATTTCTCTTAACAGCCAAAAGATGGAAACAATCCAAATGTCCATCAACAAGTTATGATGGATCCAGACAGTAGAATATTATTCTATCTTACAAAAAAGTGTGTGCTCACCTAGAACTGAAGTCCCCAGAACAAAAGCCATATCTGTGTTAAAGTCTACAAGACTGAATGATTAACTACTACATGCTCTGGAACAATCCCTTTGTACACTGTGAAGATCTGTCGCTTGTGACTGGTTTAATAAACAAGCTGACTGGACAATAGCTGAATAGAATAAGGTTAGATGGGAGAGCCAAACTGAGAATGCTGGGAAGAAGGGTGGAGTCAGAGGAGTCACCAGCCAGACGCAGAGGGAACAGGAGGTGAACGTGCCATGCTAATAAAGGTACCACCACATGGCAGAGCATAAATAGAAATATGAGTTAACTTAAAATGTAAGAGCTAGTTAGTAATAAGCCTGAGCTATTGGACAAGCATTTACAATTCATATTCAGCCTCTGAGTTAGTTATTTGGGACCAGGTGGTTGGGACAGGAAATGTCCACCTACAACTATGTAATTGTGGAGAATTAGAATGTTGCTGATACAGAGCCAAGTTGCCTTAATAAACCTTAGTTCCTTAAATACCCATTTCTTGTCCAATTCTGTGTCTGACTTAACTTTTTTTCACATATCTGGTAAAATTGGGGGCTATAATGACTTAGTAGACCGTCAGCTCCCACCAACCTAAGAAGCTAATAATGTTAGCACAGCAGAGATTTCTCTGGTTTGATATAACCTGCCTTCCTAATGTCCTCCAAGTACACATCCAGAAAATCTTGTGATCTGTGGCTTTCTTGTACTCTGTGACTTGAAGAGTGGATGTCTTCTGTGTGATGCAGGGCCACTGTCAGAGCCACACGCTCCACTAAGGTGACTATGAGGCCAGCAGCGACAGCTGCTGTCAGTATCTCTGTGGGGCTGGTGCTTGCCCTTTAGATTTCTGAAGGCCACCTGGTCAGCTGCAGCAGCCGTCCTGCAGAATCTCCTGTACAACAGGGAAGGTTCTGGATGCTGCATGAACATGCCATTGCTGTCTCTCTGGGGCTTCCAGCCACAGCTTCATTGAAGCCAGTGAATGGTCTAACGTGTTCTTCCAGGAAGCTCAAGGAAGGTGGAAACAGAACCCCAAGTCTTTTCTAGGGCTGTGTGTTGTTTTCATGGAGGATCCCTGAGCACCTCTTGTGCCTTATGTCACTTGCAAGTCCCACCCAGGTTTCCTTCCAGTTAAATACCAGGAAGTCACCTCAGGGCCTCAGGTTTGGTTTTGTTTTGTTTTGTTTTTTCAATCATTTATTTCTTATCGAGTGTGTGTGTGTATATGTGTGTGTCCTCATCTCAGGTCAATCTTGAGTATTTTTTCTCATGCACCATCCTTGCTGGTTTTATTTTGTTTTATATTTATTTATTCATTTGTATGTATGTGTGCTTATGTGTACACAGGGAGGTCAGAGGGTAGCTTGCAGGAGTCAGTTCTCTCCTCCACCATGGAGATGCCAGGGACTGAACTCAGGTCTTCCGGTTTGATGGTAAGTGCTTTTATCCACGAGCCATCTGGATAGCCCCATCTTGCTTTTTGAGACAGGCCCTCTCAATGGGACCTGGATGGGCTGGCCAGTAAGCCCCAGGGATTTGCCTCTCCCTCTCTTGGACTGGGGTTACAAGCACCTCTTTTCATGTGGATGCTGGGGATCACACTCAGATCCTCACACTCACACAGGGAGAACTTTACCAACTACACACCACTTCTCCAGCCGTTCCTGTCACTTTGGGGGGACATTGTTTGCATGTCGTGGAGTTAATTCTTTTAAAGTGTGTGATCCAAGAGGTTTTAACACACTTACAAATGTGTGCAACTACCATCACTTGCCAATTATAGAATATTTTATCACTTCAAAACCAAATCTTACCCATTGTCACAGGCAAGATAACTCTGTGCCTCAGTTTCTGCTTCATGTTTACTCTGAGCCCAGTATGAATGACCACTACCTGGCGACATGGATCCAGGCTGTCCCAGATGACATGTTCTTCCATGGAAATAGTTACATGAACTTTCATAGTCACAGAATACAAGAAAGTCGTACATCAAGGTGGGTCAAACACGAAAGCAGTTGTGTCTTTCTCCCATGACTCTTGCAATCCCAGCACACTGGAAGCAGAGGCGGGCAGATCCCTGGAGCTAATGACCAGCCAGCCCAGCTAAATCTGGGAGTTTCAAACTCAATGACAGACCTTTGACCTCAAAGGTCAAGCAGGTTCCAGGGGACTGTGGGGCATTTCTCATAATGCCTTAAAGGCCTGAGAAGTCATGTGTTCTCTTGATTGGGGAGGCTTGGAGATCCTACAGAGTGGACTCTAATCAGCATGCACTTTGCAAAGGGCATGTCAACACAGAGTGAAACATCCTCTGTGCTTCCAAGCAGGGCCTTTGACTCCTGGAAACGACTGGAAAACACTCAAAAGGGTTACAGGATTCCAAGCCCTAGTGATCCTTGAGGACCAGACCCTCAGTTGGCCTTATCCATAAAAACAAAGTTAATTTTGACCACCAATCATTTATAATTCCATTTCCATGGTATCTGGTGTCCTCTTCTGACTTACTCAAACACAAAGCACACACATGGCATACTACATACATGAAGGCAAACACTCATACACATAAATAAAAACAAATTTTTTAACTTAAAAAAAAATGACAGGATGGCTTCCTGAGGAATGACTTCCATGGTTGACCTCAGGCCTCCACAAACAAACATACATGTTATTTAATGCATGTACCCACACACACACACACACATGTACCTACATACACCTAAACATACAAACACAAAAAAATGCCAAGAAAAAAGCTGGCATGTGTGTGAATACACACATACATTACATAGACACTACATGTGCTGGATAGTTTTATGTCAACTTGACACAAGCTAAAGTCATCTGAGAGGAAGGACCCAAAAGTGAGAAAATGTCTCCATAAGATGGGGTTGCAGGCAAGTCTGTAGAGCATTTTCTTAATTAGTGATTGATAGGGAAGGGCCCAGTCCATTGTGGATGGTGCCATGCCTGGGCTGGTAGTCCTGGGTTGTATAAAAAAGCAGGCTGAGCAAGCCAGTGAGCAGCACCCCTCCATGGCCTCTGCAGCAGCTCCTGCCTCCACATGCCTACCCTGTTTGAGTTCCTGCCCTGACTGCATTTGATTACGAACAGTAATATGGAAGAGTAAGCAAAA